GTCACACATCTCGTCTAACAACCGACTATTTGAGCACTCAAAAAATCTAATTAATGGGTCATCCGCCGTACAGTCCTGATTTGGCACCAAAAATGACTTCTTTTTGTTCCCGAACGTCAAGGATAAATTGCGTGGATAACGATTTTCGTCGGCAGAAGAAGCCGTTGATGCGTTCAAAGACCATATTTTGGAGGTGTCTCAAGCGGAATGGAAAAAATGCTTTGACAAGTGGTTCGAACGCATGCAAAAGTGTATAGATCATAAAGGAGAATATTTTGAAAAACAATAAATGACAAATTATTGTTTTTTTATTATTATTTTTATTATTAGGCTCAAAATATAAATAGTGACCCTCGTACACATGCTAGATATTTTAATTCTCATTGGGGATTCGAAATATTCATATTTTTTAATATGATTCTGACTTTTCTTATTAATATGCTTCTTATTTATATTATTTTTTCTAAATATTATATTCTTATCCTTCTTATTTACATTCATGCTTTACTACTATACTATCATGTTGTTATATATAGAGATCTAGAAGCGCCAAGTGCTTTTACATGAAAAATTTTTCTATTTAAATTAAATATTTTCACTTTATACGGTAAATTCTTTAATTTGTTGTGGTAACACTTAAATTGAGCAAGGTAATGCAATTTTGTGATAATGTTTTGTATAATGTTTTGAAGGAGAATTCAATAACCACTACTTTAGTTGGAAGAGGAAATGTCTTTGAATGAAATGTGATATAATAATTTCATTTAAGAGGAATTTAAACCATTTGGATTGGAATAAGAAGATTCTTCAATAAGTATACGTATACTTAGGTTTCGTTGCATAAAAATTAAAGATAATACCATTTGGATTAAGTAAATAATAAAGATAGTATCACTTGAGTTTTACTTTTCATTTTGATAGTAGAATTTAACTTGGCGCCACAGTTATTGATATCAAATGGTTCGTACAAATAATACATACTATTAGATTAATATTCATTATATATTTAATTTGACATGGTATAAAGAAGTGGTATTTAACTTGGAGCCAGTTCTTGATATCAAATCTTTTAAAGGAATAATACATATATCATTAAAGTTAATATTATTTATTTAATTTGGTATTCGAATTACATGGAATTTAACTTGGCGCCAATT